CCCCCTCCCCCGCTCACGCCCGGCGCCCCCTGGCCTCCACGCGCGCCCGCGGCGCGCATCGTTGCCCTTGACCGCGTCCACCCCCTGCTGCTGCTCCTCTGCCGCCCGCGGGCCTGCTTGTCGCCGACCCCGCACTCCGTCCCCTGTGCCACCGATGCCGCCGCGCCGTTGGCCATCGCGGCCGCCCTGACCTCTAGCCTCGCCCGCTGCTCCCTGTGGGCGAGCGCCCGCACAGGCGCCCGTAACTCTCGCTAACCCGCATCGGCCCAATGGCCCTATGACAAACGGGGCCCAGCCCCAGAACGTTTTAAGAAAAATGAAAAATGAAAATATTAATGAATTAATAAAATTTATAATTAAGTAACTATTTAATTAAATAAATTAATTAATCCTAATTAATTAATCTAATTAACTAGTTAATTTAATTAAACAGTAATTAGATTAGTTAAATCCTAATTAGAATCAATAGAGTATGACCTGCGGGACCCACATGTCAGTTTGACCCAGTCAACACCTCTCTTGACTGCTGATGTCATGATGATGTCATGCTAATGCAGTAATGCTGATTTCGAATTAATTTAATAATAATAATTTAGAAAATGATTTAAAACTTAAAAAATTAATCTAAAATAAACCGTAGCTCAGATGAAAAAACTTTTTACATAAAAGTTGCTCAGAACGACGAGACGAATCCGGATACATAGCCCGTTCGACCTCCACATATCCCTAGCATAGCAAACACGCAACTTTCCCCCTCCGTTTCATCTGTCCGAAAACGCGAAACACCGCAGATACTTTCCCGGATGTTTCCCCCCTTCACCGGTATCACCTCCTACTGCGTTAGGGAACACATGGCACCGTTGCTTGTTATGTCATGCATCGTTATGCATCTGTTTGCATTGTATTCATTGTTTCTTCCCCCTCTTCTCTCCAGTAGACTACGAGACCGACGCTGCTGCTGCCCAGTTCGACTACGGAGTTGACGGCCCCTCCTTCTTGCCAGAGCAACCAGGCAAGCCCCCCCCCCCTTTGATCACCAGATATCGCCTATTCTTCTCTCTATTGTTTTGCATTAGAGTAGCGTAGCATGTTACTGTTCGGTTACTCCTATTCTGTTGCATAGCCTGTCATTGTTGCTACAGTCGTTGATACCTTACCCGCATCCTAAGTGCTTAGTATAGGATGCTAGTTTATTATCATTGGCCCCACATTCTTGTCAGTCTGCCTTGCTATACTATCGGGCCGTGATCACTTGGGAGGTGATCACGAGTATATACTATACATGTATACATACTATACAACTGGTGACTAAAATCGGGTTGGCTCATTGAGTACCCGCAAGTGATTACGATGTGGGGGTTGAAAGGACAGGTGGCTCCATCCCGGTAGAGGTGGGCCTGGTTTCCCGACGGCCCCCGACTGTTACTATGTGGCGGAGCGACACGGCAGGTTGAGACCACCTAGGCAAGAGGTGGGCCTGGCCTTGGTCGGCGTCCGCGGTTACTTCATAATAACACGCTTAACGAGATCTTGGTATTTGATCTGAGTCTGGCCACTGGCCTATACGCACTAACCAACTACGCGGGAAAGATATGGGCACTCGACGTCGTGGTATCAGCCGAAGCCTTCTTGATGTCAGCGACGGAGCGGCGCGCGCCGGATTGGACTGGAACGCCTGCTCTTGTATTAGGGAGGCTAGGTCTGCTTCCGGCCGCCCTCGCAACGTGCAGGTGTGCAATGGGCGATGGGCCCAGACCCCTGCGCGCATAGGATTTAGACCGGCGTGCTGACCTCTCTGTTGTGCCTAGGTGAGGCTGCGACGTGTTGATCTTTCGAGGCCGGGCATGACCCAGAAAAGTGTGTCCGGCCAAATAGGATCGAGCGTGTTGGGTTATGTGGTGCACCCCTACAGGGAAGTTTATCTATTCGAATAGATGTGTCCTTCGGTAAAAGGACGACCCAGAGTTGTACCTTGACCTTATGACAACTAGAACTGGATACCTAATAAAACACACCCAGACAAGTTCCACAGACAACCCGGTGATCGCTTTTCCACAGGGTGACGAGGGGAGGATCGCCGGGTAGGATTATGCTATGCGATGCTACTTGGAGGACTTCAATCTACTCTCTTCTACATGCTGCAAGACGGAGGCTGCCAAAAGCGTAGTCTTCGACAGGATTAGCTATCCCCCTCTTATTCTGGCATTCTGCAGTTCAGTCCACTGATATAGCCCTTTACACATATACCCATGCATATGTAGTGTAGCTCCTTGCTTGTGAGTACTTTGGATGAGTACTCACGGTTGCTTTCTTCCCCCCCTTTTTTTCCTTTCCTTTCTTTCTGGTTGTCGCAACCAGATGCTGGAGTCCAGGAGCCAGACGCCGCTGTCGATGATGACTCCTACTACACCGGAGGTGCCTACTACTACGTGCAGGCCGCTGATACGACCAGGAGTAGTTTAGGAGGATCCCAGGCAGGAGGCGTGCGCCTTTTTCATTCTGTATCCCAGTTTGTGCTAGCCATCTTATGGCACCTTGTTTAACTTGTGTCTGTACTCAGATATTGTTGCTTCCGCTGACTCGTCTATGATCGAGCACTTGTATTCGAGCCCTCGAGGCCCCTGGCTTGTATTATGATGCTTGTATGACTTATTTTATTTGTAGAGTTGTGTTGTGATATCTTCCCGTGAGTCCCTGATCTTGATCGTACACGTTTGCGTGTATAATTAGTGTACGATTGAATCGAGGGCGTTACAGGTTTGCTCAGGCCCCATATCCGTCTCATATTTGTGTTGAATATGGGATGCCGGTGTAGTAGGCCCGTTTGAGACGTCTGTTTGGATCAAGAAAACGTGACCGGACAATCCGCCTGGACACGTCCGTTTGAATCGAGAAAACGTGACCGGACAATCCGTCCGGACGTATGAGGCTGGTTTGAGAGGTCTGGTTGTAGATGCTCTAAGCTCGGAGTTCAGGCTGTACAAGCACACTCTGAATTACATAGAAACTTTTGAGCTGGCGTCGTCTCCGTTGTTTCGGATGTGTGCACGTACGTACACCTTACATGTGTACGGTGTACCTGCTCGCTTGATTCTGCGAGATATCGTTATCTTGGTTTGGTTTGGTTAGCTCGCCGGCCGGCGCTTCATGATCTGTGCATACCAGCATAATGTTGAAGTACAAACGGATTCCACAATTCTGGAAAAAATTTTGGTTGGCAGAACAAACTATGTGCTTCATCGTTGATGTACATTATTCATATGTTTATTCATAAAGGCACATTGACAAGGTTTACATTGATGACAGAGTAGGAACAAGAACCTGAACATGAACTGAAAGGAAACATGGCGGACATATAATTGCTACAGATCAAGGCGCACGGACGTCAGCGGAACGCCGACCGATGTTCTGCTTCCGGCCGGTGCTAGCTTGCTAGAAGTCTACGACGACGACAAGTTGATCAGCTGCAGGTGCATCATCATGGAGACTTATTGCTGTCGGCAGAGCCGCGAGCAGCCGGAGGGATCCCAGGGACCACGGGCGGCAGCGGCAGCGGCAGTTTGGGTAGTGGTACCAGAGGCGGCAGCGTCGGCAACCTGGGCACCACATCCTTCACCTCGTCGACGCCGCCACCGGCGCCGCCATTCCCTTTCAGCTCCCTCCCGTCGCAGGACGCGAGCACCATCACCACCAGCAACAGCAGGAGCGCGACATCCCGACGCTTCGCCATTGCTACGCTTTGCTAATCAAGAACCGGAGATATTATTGGCCCTTTGGTATGCGCTATGGTAGCTGTGTCGATCTGCGACTCTGCATGAGCTTAGGCTGACCGATGTGCTGCGTTTTATAGGCGAGTAGTGGAGCGGGCGGCGTGTCGGGGGTAACAGGTATACGTGTCAGGAGAGGCACATAGGTGGCGGTGTGGTACGCGGCGGCGGCCGTGGGACGCGCGCGGGCTCCAGCTCCACCTCAGGGTCACCGGTCACGGGCGGCCGGGGAGATAAGACGACGCATGAATGGCATGTGCACGTCGGTGGAGCGAGGAATGGGGCGGATGGCTTCCTTTGTCTTCTCCGTGGCCGTTGCCGACGTGTTGCGCGACCTTGCAGCGGCTACCCCCGGCCGGTAGTACGAGATTGGGAAATTAAGAGACGACCGACGAGGTGGGTGGCTACCGGCCGGCCATGCGAACGTAGGTCTGCAGTACCACATCAGTCGGGCAAACAAATGAGTGTTGCGGTAGACGGAAAAGGAAAATATCGGATCATGGTAAAATCTTCATTGCAAAGAATGCGTGGTCACATACTGCAACCAGAACCCGAAATTAAAAAAAAGCATAAATAACGATTATATAGCTTCTAGTTGTGTCTGCAATCACAAGCCGACCTTAGCTCAGTTGGTAGAGCGGAGGACTGTAGTAATCGCAGATAAATCCTTAGGTCGCTGGTTCGAATCCGGCAGGTCGGACATCTTTTTGTACTTTTTGTTTGCGTAGTAAAAATAGCCCACAGACTTCTTTTTTTATTTTTTTCGTTTTGAACATTTGCATAGTAAGTAAAATAACCCATAGATTACGTTTGCATATAAGTCATGTGTAATTTGAATAGACTTGCAAGCCAAGTTGAGGCAAACTGTCTCATTCATTTCATTAACACGTTTGAATCCTCCCTCAGTAAAGAAATAAAAAAAGAGCGTCCACCATTCGTAAGGGCAGAGCTTTCAGATGCGGATGACTCCTCCCGTGGAGAAGAAACCATGATCGCCGAGAATCTGCGAAATTTGGTCAAGAAACTTTGTTTCGGGGAGCTGATTTTTTTTTTTCGTTTCTTTTGGAAGGTTGTTGAATGTACGAATCAAGAGGCTTACCAGCTCAGAATTATTAGTAATTTTTGGACAAGCTCCCAAAATTATTTGAACAAGCAACAATGTATTATGTATAGATAACAAATGTCAAACACCGGGCCTCCAAATTCAGCCTTTCCTGCGAGAAAAAATATGCAAAACCAGTAGCCCTTGTTTCCTTTTTTTTTTGCGAATGAGTAGCCCTTGTTTCCTGCCTGGCCTGGTCAAGTGAAGTGAGCAGCAAATCTGCTGCGGTTAGAGATTTTTTATCAGAGTTCAAATAACTACTTATTCATATCATTCCATCCATCCACTTCACATCGTACCTCGTACATGAGATCCATCTACGTGTCTACAGCACAACTCGTATTTGTGTCATATATGCCTCGACCAACGAACAGCAAAATAAATTAAATGTCAACGACAAAAAGGAAAAACCTATAATATATATGACGGTTTCTTCTAAGCGGCCATTCTCTGTATCTCCTTCCAGGTGCTGCGAAATAACATCACTATCCTCCTGTGGTTGCCTGCTACGTGTCTACGGCGAAGGACCAGTGTTCTCAAGGCTATATCACTGCACATGGACCCATGGGTCTGTGTTGGCGAACTTCTGTTGAACGTACCGAGCATGGGATCAGGCCGACCCGTATCCGCCCGGGTGCGCCTTCTGCCATTTCCAGGCCGTTGCAAGGCTCTCGCGGAGGTCTGTGTGTTGGGCTGTCCAGTTCAGCTCGTCGCGGATCTTGGCCGGGTTGCTGTATACTTCGGCGTAATCCCCGGGTCTCCGGTCGAGGTAGTCAACCTTGATGGTCGCTCCGGTCGCCTTCTTGCACGCTTCTACAAACTCCTTCACTGACCTACCTGATAAAAACATCAACAGGATACAAGTTCAGAAACAAGCGAGTGTGTGGTCTTAAATAGATTTTAAGGTATTCATGTGCGGTTGTCCGCATGGCATGATTATAAAACTTTCAACAACCTTTCCCTGTGCCGACATTGTAGATTCCAACTTTGTTAGGCTCAGCTTTACCAAGAGCTTTGACATGAGCATCAACAAGATCTGTGACATCAATGTAGTCTCTTACACAAGTTCCATCAGCGGTAGGGTAGTCCGTTCCTCGAACCTAAAGGGGGCAGATCGAATGTCATATACCATGATTATTATGTAATGTCAACATGACGGATGCTAGAATGAGCATGTCAATATGAGTACCTTCAGCCCTGGAATGATTCCCGATGCTGCATCAAAACACGCACCAGAAATCCTTCCATGCTCACGCAGCTCAGGCCTTGGAGCTTCCCCAAGGCGTCCCTCAGGGTCTGATCCAATCACATTGAAGTATCTAATTCAAAAGAAACCATAAGTGGGTTTCCTATGGATTATATTTTTAGTGTAGGGTAGGAGAGACAAACCTTAAGATCATCACAGCCATGTTCGATTTCTTTGAGAAATCTAGAATGATGTCCTCGGACATCTTTTTTGCCTTGCCATATGGATTGATAGGTATCTGCGTGGCAACACGAGTTATTTACTGTGAGATTATTAACCTAAAGTGAACTGTCAAAAAAGAGAAGTTCAGGCACCAAGGACCAACCTGAGGAGTTGTTTCTACAATAGGCATTGTGTCAGGTTCACCATATGTTGCACAAGTACTCGAGTAAATCAGAGTTTTTACATTATGTGCTGCCATTGCCTCAAGCACTGTCAACGTATTTGATGTTATGTTGTGGTAGTACCTGTTATATCAAACTGTCAATATTAGCATTCAATATTTAACGATGAGCTGTCAAGAATGGCAAAAATGGATGACCTTTATTCTAATTTATTTTCATTTAATGCTATGATAGTATTATAGATTGCCATATTTGGCAGTTTATGGAAACACAGGTGATTGCAGCCTACATATTACACAGGAGATACACAGTATCAATGATCTGTATTTATGTAGAGCTATTTAGTGCTTAGCTTTCTAATTAGTCCGAGCAATACAAGGACACTGTCACACCACATGCCTAAAATAAAAACTGTACCTTAGTGGCTCTTGCGTGCTCTCACCAACATAAGCAACAGCAGCGAAGTGCATAACAGCATCAAACGCGTTCTCCGAAAACATTTTGTTCACCTGATTGTCGGTTAAGTGCAAAACACATTTCTCAAATGCATAGATGTACGGAACATATATATGGTGGTCAAAGTTATTTTTGTAAGGACAAAGGATACAGCTTTCGGATCGCCTAAATCAGTGTATATAAACTGAAGCCTCCCAGGCTCTGGAAACAGCCTCTGAAGAGCTCTGACAGCTCCCATGTTCCCTCTCGAAAGGTTATCCTGTGAATATGAGATGGCATAAGTCTCTCACTACCAAAGTTCATATAACATAAGAACTAAAAATGTAAACAGGGAATAAGAAATTTACCACAATGGTAACTCGGTAGTTGTCCGTAAGGAGACGAAGAGTAGCATGTGAGCCAATGTATCCAGCACCTCCAGTCACCAGCACATGAGTCACCCCAGTTTCATGGCGAGAGAACTGCAGCACATGTAGATGCATCAACTCCAGTTTGAAAGAGTGGAGTTGCAGGAGTAAATAACTGTAAACTACTAGATTGGATGGCAATCTGAAATGTCTGTACGAAATCGCTTGCGTCTGATGGAACAATGACTATAGTTTATCTAGAACAGATGATGCAACAAAGTATTATATAATAATCTCAGCTAGAAGAAGAAGAATGGACTGTTCGTCAAATTAGATGGCAGAATGAAATGTTCCAACAAATTGCCTTACTGGCCCTTTTTGTCATGGAATCAGTATATTAGTGCTCCATGTGGAACTTGAATGATAACATTAAAATTAAGCCAGAAAGAAGGAATCATGACAGTGCCAACTCATCAGCAAGTGACAGCGACATAGCATTCCTACGATAACCTCAGCTGAAAGAAGAAGAATGAACTGTTCCATCAAATTAGATGCAGAATGACATGTTCCTTCTAGCTGCCTTACTGGCCCTTTTTGTCATGGAATCAATATACTAGTGCTCCATGTGGAACTTGAGTGATAACATTAAAATCAAGCTGGAGAGAAGGAATCAGGACAATGCCAACTCATCATCAAGTGACAGTGACATAGGCCAGTTGGTGAGAGGTTAGCACATACCACGCTAGTACCGCCAAAACCAGGAGACTGTTTCAACACAAGTATGCACATGACAGTGAGGGCGGCAGCCACCGCGATCTTTCCTGCGAAATTAGGCTTGCGTCTCGTGTCACCGAAGTCCATGCCTGCAAAAATAATGTGCCGAATTCAAAGTTGTGCCAGCAAAGTCATAGTGTCCCGGCCCAACTACACGTTCTCGCACTCATAGGTTACAGTAAATTTGAACGGTATGTACTTCACAGAAGTACAATCACATAATCAGAAGCTCCTGTAATATTAATGGCATGTATTTACAACATTTGACCATGAACAGACACTTTCGTGTTGCAGCCTGCAATAACTATCAAGGTCAAACATTTGGTCTATATGACTATACCATTCAAGTTTCATTCCCTGGTGGTAACCGGGTCAAGTTTCATTCCCTGGTGGTAACTGGGTCGATGAGAACAGACGCAAAAAAGGTAAAGTGAAAATAAAAGTAGCACAAGACCATGAACTGAGGAAGAAATGATGTTGTACCTGACAAGATCCAAGACCTGGTGGTCCTAGCTTGGCTTCTGCTCCGGGGGGTTGTTGGCATGTGCGGTCGGCTCCCGCGGAAGAAACCAACAAGAACTCAACTTCCTCCTCCTCCCCTCCTCCTCCTCCTCCTCCTCCTCCGGCCTACGAATCTGCACCGGCAACATGGTCACGCACGATTATTTGCAAGAACAAAGAACAGAGACATCGTCAAATTGGCTTCACAAGAAGGAAAAACTCTGAAACAGCTGCACTGCAGCTCGCTGACGGAATAAATCACACGGAAAGCAAGGCGAGGAACAGGGGAAGGCGAGGAAAGCATGGTGGCAGGAACCCAAATCCTTGACCGGAGGGGAGAGAAGAGAGGAGAGAGGAACTGAGCCAGGGAACTCACCTTGCGAGCAGATCGGCGCGGCTGGAGACGGAGGCGCACCTCGCCGGCGATTTGGGCGCCGGGCGAGATCGGTGTGCAACGGTCCAAGATGGGGGGAGGCCGGGGGAGGGAAGTGAGGCAGAGGAGGAGCAAGTCGTCGGGGAGTTTCTATTTACCGAGTCATAAAGCCTGCGCCGATTTATGGGAATCTTCTGCGTATGGCTCGCTGGCTGGATTCTCGCGTATTTAAATATACGGTGATTTTCTGTAGACCGGGAGTATTTTAGCTGGAGGCAATTGTTTAAATGGAAGGTCTAGGTAACGAACGTTCACCCCCGGTTTCTAAGGGGTGAAGTGCTTGTGCCAGTGGGATGCAACATTATGCGGTTCAGATGCAATCACAAGGGGAAGAAGAAACACGTAGCGGGAGGAAGGGCGCGATGAGGAGGTGTGTAGCAACATCGGCTTATCGTCGTTGGACAGAGAAAGGGGATGGACGTCAAATAGTGTCGAACTGCCCCATAGGCTGAGGGGGTGGCGGCATATACCCGGTGGGTGATACCGGCAAGACAGTTGGATGACACGCACAAATCAAGAAATGGTCCAAAAGAAAAGATGGATGCCATTTTTTCAGAGGTACGCATGTCAATGGCGGAGCTAGACAGGAAGCTCGGCGGGGGGCAAAGCAAAAAATACGAACTGTTGGAGGGACCAAGATCTTACTCTTTTTTTTCCTAATCCAATCCCTGCATAATAATGTTTCAAGACTGGGGCGGGGGGAGGGGGGCAATGGCCCCCTCAGACTTGTACTAAGCTCCGGCACTGACACAGATAGATGGTTGCCGACGTTTGATGGTGACATGGGTGTAGGACGAGAGGAGACAAAGCGGTGGTGGTGAAGCAAGGTTGTGACGGAAAGGGTAGAGCGTCGGCGATGGAAGTTTGGACCAAATAGATGAGGAAGAGGGAGAAAGTGAACTATCTCGCGAATGATCATGCTTCATTCAAGTTTTCGTGTTTAAAGACCGCCATAAGCACACTCTAAGCAACACCCACACATATTGCCCGATTAAATGGATGGGCTCCTAGCCAAGTGTCGAGAACACGGTGTTGTCCCTCAACAGACTCGAGTTTGAATCATGTGGGCTGAATAATTATTGCGTGGTTAACATGTATACTCCGATCAAATATGTCGCACCGTATTACTATGATGGTGGATTTTCTGAGCTCAAGCTCCATGGAGTTTATTTTTTGAGAAAAAAAACAAAAATCACATTTTTTTTAAGTTTCAAAAAAAATCTGAAAAAATACACATAAACATAGAGATGCATACTGCTTCAAAGCTTCACCCCATTTTTAGAAACTAGTCATGGTGTTGTAAAGAATATAGTAGCATGACAGCTGCATAGTGCTGGAAGCCAGATGTCGTAAGAAGCAAACATGTGTGCTTCTTTTCTAGCGCACATTTTTTTTCTTAAACGTGCGCTAGAAAGAAGCGCGAACTTGGATGTGTACACGAGACACGCGCGCACTCTCAGGTTGCCGACACGGACAGAACTGAAGTTTTTTTTTTTGCAACTAAGATGTGTCACATGGTTGGGGTGCTGTGCTGGTCGCCTGCACCGGATTCCTGCGATGTTACACTATATGGTTGTTTTGGGCAGCACGTACAGTAAGAGCAACTCCAAAGGGCCGACCCATTTCGTCCGGCTGCGTTCGTTTCGGTCGGCGCGGACAAAAGTGGCGGCCCAATGTCTCGACCCAAACACAAATCATGTCCGCGTCGCGTCCGCGCCGACACATTTGCGCCCCAAATGCGTCGGCACGGACGCCGAACGGATGCTTCGTGCGTCTTCTCGTTATCCGCCGCTCCCCCACATGACAGTCGTCCAACTACCTGCTGCCCACGCGGTCAGCTTAATTTATGACGATGGGCCCACGCGTCAGCGATGGCGCTCGTCCTTTTTTAAGCCGACTGTGCGGCGGGCCGTCCTCATCCAAACTCGCCGTCCACATCTGCCCACCTTTGCTCCCTCGTCGCCGGCAAACCCTAGCCACCACAACCACAGCAAGATGGGCCTCTTCTCCGGCGCCAGCGGCAGCAAGGCCAAGGGCAAGTCACCCGCCACCCCTTTCCCCTCCGAGTTCCTCCCACCTTCGTCGGCGCCGGCGCCTCGCTGGCAGAGGCAGCGCTTCAACGTGCCAGTGCACCAGGCGGAGTGGCACTGGCAGAACCGGCAGCCTCTGCCGTATCCGGACGTGACGCTGCCGCACGACTGGCATATGGATCCAGATAGGATCCCAGTGCCGGCACCGTGGTCGGCTCGTGCTCACGCGGAGGAGGTGCGGCGCCGGCGGGCGCTGCTGACGCCGGAGCAGCGCGCCGACCCGGCCTACGCAACCGACTCGCCCAACTGGGCGAGGTGGTTCGCCTTCGAGCACGAGGAGGCGAGGCGACGGGGCGTGTGCGAGGTCGACCGGAGGTTGCCGCCAACGCCGTTCGTCGTCCGCAAGTAGGACCAGGCGGCGGAGGACGCCTACCAAGCGGCCCTTGCGGTCGTCTACCGGGAGAGCGAGGAGGACGAGCGGCGCAGAGCGGAGGCGACGGAGGTGGAAGAGGAGGCCCGGTACGAGGCGGCAATAGCGCAGGCTCTTGCCCTCTCCGCGGTGGGCGACAGCGTGGTGCCGCCGGTGGCCCCGCCGTCCCCCATCAAGCTGGTGCCTGAAAGAACATGCGGTGCCCCCATGTTTGGTTTTGGTAATTGATGACAATCTCTATGGACTAACGGTTGTCTTGAGTTATATTTAAAGGATTTGTCCATAGGATTTTCTTGAAGTCCATGTGATGGTTTCAAGGAGTTTATGAGTTGACCAAGGTGCTATTAAGGAATTATCCAAAGATTGGTCATGCGAGTGTTGAGCTTATTGCAAGCATGTCTTGAAGAAGATGGTTGTGTGATCATTCATGTTTACCTTCAATACATCATCCAAATGAAGAGAGTTGCAAAGATTTAAGGTTGATCAAGACTAAGTCAATAGTGAATCAAGTTGATCAACTCACAAAGCGTAGAAGATGTACCGAGAGGGATCAAGTGATCCCATGGTATGGTACATATCCATGGGCTTGCATCAAGAGGAAGATATCATACAACCCATGGAAAGGATGACATCAAGTGGTGATCGTCATCAAGATTGCCGTGTGCAAGTTCAAGTGGAGCATCACGAAGAGATCAAGTGCTTGAATCTTGCCATCCATTGTGGTGTCAATGGACTTGTGAAGATGAGCCGAAGAGTGGCTCACCCATAGTGGACTATGGGGGAGCAATCATCTGGTCTTCATCGAGCCAACGCAATCAAGAAAGGTGGTTCATCTTGAGGGAGTCAAGATCGTCATCATCTAGCTCAAGTGGACCATGTGCAAGGCAAAGGTTTGCCCTTGATAGGTTTTCTATTTTGCAGGTCTCATGGTGGTAGTAGGGAGACCGGGTTATATGATCGTTTGCCGTACTATCAAGGGGGGCTCTCAAGTTGGTAGCTTGATCGTATCGTTAGTAGAGAGCTCAAACCCTTGCATCCTTGCATCATGTTTCTTGGTTCTTGTTTGGTTCTCTTTGTGAGTCTTAGAGCTTATGGTCATCTTGATGACAAGCTTGAGTTCATCGAAAATGGAGTTCACATGCATCTTCTATGATGTTTTCGGTGTTGGAGGTTTTACCGGTCTTTTCCGAGGAAGGGTTCTCACCATTTTCCTTTGGGCCTTTTCTCATTTGCTTCTTATTGGTATTTCTTTCAAGATTGTGTTAGTCCTTGTCGCCCTTGTCGCTAGCTTTCCAACAAACTTGGTTTCGCTGAATTCGGAGTCCGTTTGCAAAAGTTGTGGTTATTTTGGTAAAGACTGCAGCGGTACTACCGCGACTGGAGCGGGTGTAATTTTTTACTACTGCTCCAGAGCAGTACTACCGCGGCTCCTGAGCGGTAGTACCGCTCCAGAGCAGTACTACCGCGGCTCCTAAGCGGTAGTACCGCTCCAGACCAAAATCTCGTGTTTTGCTCAGCGAAAGTAGGCACATAAGTATTTTTTTAGTACCGCTCGCAAGCAGTAGTACCGCTACCATTTGCGGTAGTACCATGAGGTCGAGCGGTAGTACCGTGAGGACGAGCGGTACTACCGCTCCGAAGGTTCTTTTGGCCTTTTTGCCTCCTCGCTGTTGTGTTTCGAAGGGGTACTACCGCCCTAGCGGTAGTACCGCTCCTTGGAGCGGTAGTACCGCTCTGTGCGGGCTGTGAGCATAACGGTTGGATTCGGGAGCTCCTATAAAAGGGGGTCTTCTTCCCCATTCAACCTTATCCTTTGAGCTCATGTTCTTCCCCCATTGTTGACCCTCTTCGAGCTTGCTAACTCTCAATCCCTCCATGGATTCTTGCTAGTTTTTGAGGGAAAAGAGAGAGGAGATCTAGATCCACATTTCCACCAATCACTTTATCCTCTATGTGAGGGGAACCCCTTGGATCTAGTTCTTGGAGTTCTTGGTGTTCTCCTTCTTGTTCTTCCTCTCATTTTCCTCCCTAGCATTAGTTGCTTCGGTGGGATTTGAGAGAGAAGGACTTGGGCACTCTGTGTGCCCTTGCCATTGCATTTGGTGCATCGGTTTGAGTTCTTCACGGTGATACGTGGAAGTTACAAGTTG